CTTTGACACTTGGGATGTACGAGCATGTTTTATCTTTTAAGTGAAGAGCACGCTTTCTCTCTTTAACACTTCAGCATGAACACACACTCTCACACACACTCATACTCTCATACACACACACACTCTCTCACAACACACACTCACACACACTCTCACACCCACACACACACACTCTCATACACACTCTCATACACACACTTTCACACACACTCATACTCTCATACACACACACACTCTCTCACAACACACACTCACACACACTCTCACACACACTCTCACACACACTCTCACTCACTCTCATACATACTCACACTCTCACACACACTCATACATACTCACACACTCTCACACATACTCACACTCTCACACACACACACACATACTCTCATACATACACTCATACTCTCACACACACTCTCACACACACTCTCACACACATACACTCATACTCTCACACACACTCTCACACACACTCTCACACACACTCTCACACACACTCTCACACACACTCTCACACACATACTCTCATACATACACTCATACTCTCATACACACTCTCACACACACTCTCAGGGACCGTTTATACGACAACGTTTTCAGCCATAAACGGAAACGTTTTATGCGTTTTGCCTGTTCGTTTACACGACAACGGCGTTTTGGGGACTGAAAACGCATATTTTTGAAAACAGGTTTCAAAGTGCATGTTTTTGAAAACGCCGCCGTTATCGTCTCCATGTAAACACCCAATACGGGAATCTTTGAAAACGGTGACGTCTGCGCGTGATGTATGCGCGTGCGTAGTACGTGTCAGGTATGTAGACATGCGCAGTACGTGTCTATTGTAAAGGCGAGCGCGAGCAAACATACACAACAATGGCGGAGTACATGTTGTTGCTGCTCAAGAGTTTGCTAAATGTGGATTTACTTCAATATTACAAACTACAACCAACTAACAAGGTGACAGCGCCAGCTACTGGCCTGGCATACGTAATGCAGCGTTTTTGGCCGTTATCGCGGATATGTGTAAACGCGTATCGTTTTGAAAACGTTGTCGTGTATACGTGAAACTTTTTGAAAACGCAAGAGAAAAACTTTTCCGTTTTTGACTACATCGTTGTCGTGTAAACGTAGCCTCATACATACATTCACACTCTCACACACTCTCACACACACACACACACACACACACATACTCTCACACACACTCGTACAACTTTACACAACACTTCTAACCCTCTATTCCAGCTATTATATTTTTATTAAACAGATCCATGCCTGTCGTTCTTCCCTCCTTTCATCACACTCTTCCTTTCGTTCTTTCTCTCACTTCTTTCTTTTGCTCTCTTCCCTCCTTTCTTACATCCTTTCGCTCTCTTC